CCTATTGCGAACATAAGTGTAACACTTATTGCCAGAAACTCTTGATGTTTCATTAATCACTGGTGTTATACAAGTGTTAGCAATAAAAGAATAAACTTGGTAGTATTTAGTCTCAGTTTTTGGTGATGGGAAATCTCATTAAAAGATGATGGTTGAAACTTGACCTCTATTAAAGCTATGTAAATTGAACTTATTTACTTCACAGCTCCGTTTTTTCCTTTTGTTAAAAATAATTCTATTATTTTCTTTTATTTCTTATTAGTTTGAGTTCAGTTTACATTAGAAGCCTTACTAAACTTCTTTTCAAACAAGCGTTTCGATCCTACAGTGAAAATTGCATTTTAAGAACTATTAGTATTTCTTGCTATATGGTTTCGGAGCTTCAGCGACGAGATCAGCTAATCGAATTCTCAAGGCATCATTTGCTTAAAAAGCCTTAAAACATTTGACTTTTTGATCAAATGAACCAAATTTGATTGGGCCGTCAATATAAAGACAAATCGAGACAATCAAGAGCCTCAAATCGACAGGAACAAAACCAAGAGCAGAACAGTGAGGTTTTCTCAGAATGTCGGAAGCTTAGTAAGGCCCTCTCAGAGCACACTAAAGAGTCCTATACACAGAATACTAACGTTTAAAATGCAGTTTTTTCTGAAGCGCTCTCGATGGGTTCGAGCTGTCGCGACTTCGATCCACGAACAAGGGCCTTTTCAGATGAGGATCTCAAGCCGCAACCCATCATCAAAAAGTCCAGGAAGCAGTTTGTTCCAGATGACCTTAAAGACGACAAATATTGGGCGCGCAGAAGGAAGAACAACCTTGCGGCCAAACGGTCGAGAGACGCTCGCAGAATGAAGGAGAATCAAATTGCTCTTCGTGCGGGCTACCTTGAAAAAGAGGTGAGTGTCTTTTGAGGTTGTAAATTTGTTATAATGAAATGAAAATATTTCTAAAATTACTTATGCATAAAGAAAAAAAGCAATTGCGTGTTTTTTGAGCTTAATGGATGTATAAAGTGCTTGACTATAATAATTGTCCGCTAATGCCGCGCTAAGTGGCACTCCAGGCTTCTTGGAGGTGAAAATCGTGCAGAAGTTGAATGATTCTGAGTCTTGATTTTTTAAATCGACTCATGGAATTTTCGGTTAAAAGTCAAAAATTTGCATTCGTTCTTTTGCAGCCACACCTATCCGTACGCAGGATATTTAACAAAAAATATCAAAGTGCATCCTTTACTTATAATAAGATCATAAAATAATTTGATTTGGTTTTGTACATGAAAGGTTCTTTAAATCATTACAATTCTTATTTTAGTCACGAAGTTTTTTGCTATTCAAGTATTTTAAAAAAATGCAAAACTAAACTAATCCCGATGCTGCAGCCCATGAGCATTCGTTCTGAATAGTCTGAATCACCTTCGCTTTATTAAAAAGAACTTTCACTATTTTTGTCTTGCTATCGTCCAATTTGGGAACATTTCAATAATAAAACTTGTTAATATTTTCTAGAATGTTGGACTTCGTCAAGAGTTGGAACGACTGAAAAAAGAAAACCTCATGCTGCAAAACAAATTGGCAAAATACGAGGACGTCTAAATCAGCCACAGCGGAAGGATAACGAACCGTCCTTCTCTAGCAGCATAGCAATGGAATCATCCGATATAGTGAATTGTTGTTACAGCGTTTCTCAGCTACCTTAAAGCTGCCTAAAACTACCCCAATTCAATTGTGTTGTTTTATCATTTCATATTGGCCCAGCGAATTATGGATTTGCCCTCCCGAGTTAAGTCAATTAAATTTTCAAGTCAATTTAAGTACAACGTATTATCAAAATTATTTATTTTTCTTGAAAATGAGTTTTTGGTCATGACCTATCTTGAATTATTTAAATTGCTTGATATGTGTTTCTCTTAAGACAGGAGGGCACACGCGAGAAATGGACGTCAGTGTTCCTTTCAACTAACTGTAAAAACGCAACCAAACATTTGTAAATAAACATACACATTATGTAGTAGTCACCATTGTAGTGTAGGATTAAAAACCAGAATTCTTGTTTAAATTTAGTCTTAGCGGAAAATTTTCAGAAAACTCCCATTAGTTGTAGGTACAGACAAATAACACAGTGGATGCTGCCTTTTTTTATTTTTAGAATTTTCTCGGTCGCTACCTAAGTTGCTTTTTATCAACATTAAAACTTTTTCTGCTAGAAAAACAGACAAACTTTAATCGTATTTTATCGGTCTTATACGTTCTATATTAGAATAGGCCGTACTGTATATTATCACCCTCCGAAAGTTTTCTAAACATTTTCCGCTACCGATCCTGCCTCGTTTCATCGAGCAGCTGTTACTTTGTAGAATATTTGTTATTTGTTTTTATGTTTATATATAGTTTATTTTTTTCGGTTGAAGTTAAGTTAGAGCTACATAAGTCTTTGGCTAGACGGGGATCGCTCTTTGCGCCGACGTTAATTCTTCCGTTAACGTTACTGGGTTGGCGCACGATTGCCGTCGACCGCGTAGTAATTTCGTAGTACCTAAATATGCTCACAAAAGTTTTACAGAACTGTAGCGATTGCGAACGGCACTAAAAGTTGCTAATTTTAGTTGTAGCCCGTTGCATAAGTAGTTAATAAATTATTTCAAAGACATTAATTATTATATTACATGAGAGACGTGTGGTAGAGTTTTTCCACCTAATTGTATGACGCTTCTCGTAATTTTTAATCAAAATGATTTTCTAGAAACAAAGGCTGATGATTTTGATATTAACTGTTGTGTGAAAACTCTGATATACGAGGTTCGCGCAAAACAACTCCTTCTTTCTACCATCTTTGTACTCGGTTGTGTTGAATTCAGCGACGCACCTCGTATATTATACAAGGAGCCATAAAAACGCTTTGGTAGGCCCTGACGTACAAAGGCACAAATATATAGATAATTTCCGATGCATTGTTAGTACCAATACACCTGGTAGTTGATTTTAAGAAGATATATATTACTTGTTATGAGATCCACGCTCTGTGAACATTTTAGATAAGACTTATTCGTGTGGCACTTTTTAAATAATGGCATTTATATATGCTACACTGCCAACTTTGTAAACGCATTTTAGTACTTACTCGAAAGTTGTTGATGTTGAGCTTCGATCGTGTACATAAATGTACAATGTGTTCGGATAAACTTGGTTTTTTCTACTACCTTTACCATGTGCTAAATATTCCTTTATCAATTTTCGAATCGAATGCTTTCTTGAACCGGTATTTATTCGAACACCCTGTACAATAGACTAAGAAACTTTCACATGCTTGATCAAGCGCGGATTTTCTTTTAAATACGTTTTGGACGAAATTTAAAAGCCTTGAAGTTCGTTATGGCTCTTCAGTGTACCTTTTACATCTCTTCGTGATTGTGACTGCGAAGTTGGCGAAACAACAAGCAAACTGATTTAAACAGTCACATTTTGAGGAGCTGCTTTCTCTAACTAAACCTCCACATGATAATGGCATTTTTTTAGTGGAAAGATAAATTACGAAGTAGAACCATGGGATTTTTCGACTGAGGAAAATGCCATTGAAATGTACCAGGAGGGTCCCTCGAGGTGATAAAATACAACTCAACGTTACCGTTATCATTATAAGATGTAAATGTGCAAAGATATATTATATTCTAGATTATATGAACATGTTTTACACAGTTAAACATTGCCTTAACTGGCTGGCCTTAATAAAATTTACCTTTTTGACTCTTTTATAATATGTATATGTTGTTTCTGGGCAATATTGACAAAACAAATTATTTACTTTGTGGTATTTCCAGCTGGTCTGAATTGAAGTGTGTGTAGGCTTACACCGTGCAAGTCTGTAATTCCTAATAAATTAAGGTCTACTCATTATAATGAAATTTCGTTTCTCAACTTAATGAAGATTACTTTTGTCAATATTTTCCATTTATTGTTAGACGTATTATTGCTATATTGCAAGAAGTGGGTAAATTTTATTTTTGAATATGAAGAGCTGTTTTCAAGGATGTTACTATTAGATACGTAAAATTGTTTTGGGACATTATAAAACACTTTCAAAATATTATTCTTTAAAAGATTCAGGGAAAATTCAGATCCGAAGGAAAAGGATGTTTCATGTCGGCATTTCAAACCTCTATCAGTTTTTAACTTGCTACGGGAGGAGAATCGCTATCTATACATACGCAAAAATACTTGATATGAGTACTAAAAATTGTTTTGTTTTTAAACGGAATTCAAAAACGACTATCGATCTTTTGAGTCACATTCCAAAGCCAAACTGAAAAACCGCAAGTTCTATATGTGTCCCAAAGCATGCAAACAATACCTACAAGGAATGGTCTGAAATACTTAAGACAAACCATATGAACGAGGTGTTTTGACAAATCATCTCCCAAGAGCACTGAAACACATTTCGGTGAAGCTAAATGATGCTGTCGTAGAAGATATTTTGTAGTATTTAACTAAGATGATAATTACAAACTGTAATAACTGCTACTGTGAGCATTAAATGACGGAAAATATACGAATGTGTTTCATTTATGGATGTACGTTCGACGATTGATGATCTTAGTGTGACTGATTATTTTAACTAACTGTAACAAGGCAAGTTCGATGGTGGATCACAGTGGTGATAAGGAGAATGGGAACCTCAGTGAGCGAAACTGAGTTGCTCGAGGCCTGGAGGGAACATTTTAATGGCCTGCTCAGCCTAACCCAAAGCACAGATCAGGCAAAAGATGTGTATCAGAGCAGACTTGCCAGTGGAGGAGCCAACGACAGAGGAACGATTTAAAGCAGTCAACAAATTTAAAAACGCAAAGGCTCCAGGCTCTGGCACCATAACCGCAGAGCTATTCTAGAATGCAGGGACCCAACTGCACATGTGTGTGTCTTATTATCCTCATATAGCATGAGGAAAACATACCAGTTGAATGAGGAGAGTATAATATGTATGTATAATCGACAAAACCGGAGACAGAATGAGATGTTTAAACCACAGCGGAATCTCTTATTACTGCCTACAAAGTGCTATCAAACCTCTTTCATCTAAGCCTCTGTGGGTGAGTATCAGGTAAGTTTGAGGAAGAGCAGGTCTACAATTGACTAACTCTTTACCCTGAGCCAATTGCTTGTGCAAAGCTGGGAGAAATTTGTGATCACTGCAGATCAGCGTTAACCAAAAACCTCCATCACTATATCCAATTATAAAGGTAAAATGCGGTTTTCAAAAGGTGTTTGTGACGCTCATCCAACCCGGGGTGATGCAACAATTTACTACTCTATTCAATATGCGCATTAGTGTTATATTTGTGGAATAATCGCTCAAAATTAACCCTGGATTCCTTTGCTTAACATAACTATTGCGACTTTTTTATTACCGGTACTAGTAGATTCTAAAGCTTCTATTCGTAGAGATGCGAACTCAAACAGCAGTAAACTGCAAAGTCGGCCACTTTTCACAATTTCACTCAATAATTCACTTCGATTTGAGTTTGATTATCACTTTATTACAACTGACGGCAAATCACTTCTGGTGCGTTCTGACATGCGCGTAGTACAGATTCCTATTTGGGATAACCCTGACAACAGCTGTCATCAGTTTTTGAAAGTTAGCACGTTTAGAACCCAGAAACAGAATGATCTGATTCAAGTAAGTAAACCTTAAATCTATA